GCCTTGAGCACCATCAAGTATAGTTGTCAACGTTGAGCCGTAGCTCAAACTCAGCCATCCCAACCTTTGTGCGCTCCACATTCTTCCAAGCTTGCCTGTTCTCGTGGTGCCTCTTGCGCGAAGGGTTGGTCATTCCTCTAAATGCCAATGTTAGATGCTCGCTCATCCGAGCAACTCATTTTTCCTATATCTCCATGCCCATTTTCCCCCAAACGGTCACGTGTGTGCTGACTGCCCTCAACGTAGTCCTGCTATGTCCCCCACATTTGCATGCTAAGTGTTTCTATGAGTGCTTGTCTCGCTCTGATACCATCTGTCACGGACTTAGCTGATTTTGCCTAAGTCGTACGGCACCCTTGCGTGTCCGTCCGCAAAGGTCAGCCTCCCCGAAGCCTCCCATTGTCCCTTAGGACCAACAAAAGAGAGAACGGGTTAGAGAGAACGCCTCAATCGGGATCCACAAGCAAACATCTCCGAAAAATACTTCATAGACAATGCAAATTATAAACAGACTTTACAAGCTTTGAACAGTTGCACAACAAAGGGTAAAATGGTCCATTACAGATCGAAAATCTCTCGCACGTGTCCACATGGCACAACCTTTATTTACAAGCCTAAAGAGGCCACCAACCCAACTAAAATGGGACTATTAAGCCTTCGGTCGTCCCTCTACATGTTGTACAAGGCATGAACATACCAAAAGACATGAACATACATAAGCATTACATCAAACATCCTGTTTAGAAGTTTGTCCGTGATAGTAGGGTGGAGGCTCATAGTCCAATAACATAGGAAGAGGCATGTGTTTCGATGTTGTAGGGCGGAGGAAGCATATGATAGTGTAGTGCCAAAGAGGCTCGCGATTGAGTTTAATTGGGTTCGATGGTGTGTTTGAGCCAACTATTCCAAAAAGATCGAACCCAAACTCCAATTTCTCGATCACATGCCTAAGCTGCTAAGTGCCTAGGTTCAGGCATGTGCTTGTTTAGCGCCTCCTTCAAACGTCTCACCCTAGTCTATTCCGAGGAAAGAATTTAAATTTAGAAGTAATAATTTAAATTTATCTGAGTTACCTAAATAAAAACCAATACATATAAAAAGAGGAAAGAATAAGCAAATAAGAAAAAGTTTGAAGGAGATAAGAGACGAGTTCTCCGGGAAGGAGAGATTAATATCCAAGAGATAATTTTGCATCCTGTACCAACTTTGCTCCCCTCGCAATCACAGCGGCAATTATGTAGCCCCTAATCATGTAGGTATTTGATGAGCATGCATTAATTACGATGGGGAATGCCACCCAAAAGTGGAGGGTGGCAGGTCGCAATAGATGCATCACAACTGTGATTTTGAAGTCTTTTAACGTTGACGAGCCTCCATCTCCATTTTCCCGTAACTTATTGGATTGTGATGATGTCCAAATCAACTTAGACTTTGGATTTGTGTGCATAGAAAATTTGACGTGGATGGATGAAGGTTTCGGGTGTTCAATAAATGATCGATTTGAAGATCGATATTAATTGAGATTTTGATGTTATCTATGTGATGCTTTAATTAATTTTAAGTGAAAGTTTGTATCCCGATAAATTATTTAAATGAATTTAACTCTAAAGAATATTCTATAGTATGAACGAAATCTTATATTGGATTGATATCTAAATGACTAAATTATTAATTAATTTTTTTTGATAAAAGATGAATGATAAATACGAGATTCGAATCGAGCATCTTATGATAAACTCTCAAGATCTTTATCAACTAAATTAACTTATACTTTCAATTATTTTAATTTAAAAAATATATTAAATTAGATTTCGAATCTTTGTTGTGCTATCATGTGTCAAGTCAAGTTGTGATTGGGATAAATATTTTCCTATACATCCGATTAATGATAATTTTCATCTTTTGTTTCATAAATTAATATATAAAACGACTATGTTATTTTTATGCTTAATCTATAATTACCATCTTATTTTTCAAAACTCCCTTTCTTTGATCTTTTCTTTCATTACTAGTGTTACACTATTTCATCGCCGTATTCTTTTTCTAACTTGTTTTTTTTTTAAGACAATGAAAAGTACGTTGATTACCAATTGCTTCACGTCAATTATGAATGGTGACTAAATGGTATAATGAAATTGTAGCAAAGGTGAAAGAAATTAGTAGACAGGTCATGGCATTTGGCATTCTGTGAAGAATGTCCTTCTCAATCATTAGTCCCCTAACATATTATCATTAACAATGACCCATACAACAAGCAAAATGCTTGTCCTGTAAACATGCATCATGATCAATCTTAAACTAAGATATCTAAGATTAGGGTAGCCGACAGGCATCGGATTCCCCCCTTAAATGAGGTGGCCATCAGGATGCTTATTTAGCTTTCCCCGAAAGAAAGGAAATAAAGACCACGACTAACATTACATATTTCTCTCTCTCTCATTTACACAGCTCTCTCTCTCTCTCTCTCTCCCCTTATTTACCTTCTGATCTAAGCTTTTGATAGTGAAAGGGCAGTGGAATTACACTCGGTGTGTAGAGGTGCCACACCATGATCTTGGAGCAGTCGGCAGGAATACCCTTCAGCTTTCTGTCATCTTCTAAGATGACTTCATGCACAAACTTGATTGAATCCTGAAATTATCATCACCATGGTAGATGTCAATGTACAAACTCAAGTGGCAGTGGTTGTGAGAATGATTGACCAACCACCAGCAAAATCATGTTGCTAGTCCTAATCAAAGGTTTCCTGTGCTTGACATCGATTCCTGATCAAGAGGCGAGGAAGTTTTCTGTGGGCTAATAATTGGGGAAGGCTGCTGTCAACTAGCTGGTTGAAAACGTCCGGGAATGTTCGAACTTTGTTGTGGTACAATCTACCAGAGACAGCTGGAAAGAGTCTCATGTGTCTCAGCTATGTGCCAAAATTGGTCAACGGAGACGGTAAGAGGAAAATGAAGGAGATCAATGTGATGTATATAGTCAGCGACGTGGTGTCACTAGTCACAAACTCATACCTCAGATAACAAGAAAGAATTTATGTAGACAGACAGTTGTACTTCGCGGTGGATCAACCAATCAGATAACAGATCGGCCTTTCACTAGTTGACCATAGGTTTAAGGTGAGGAGGGAAGAAACAGAAGTGAGAGTGAGCTTCGGTGGGACGGTAACATCAGAGTTCTTTGAGTCCCGGAAACAGGGTTTCATACATTGACAATTTGGCATCAGCAAAACTCTCATATAAATTGAAATCTAAACTTAAACATAATCCAAATGAACTTAGCATTTGAAGAAGACCATTGTGAATAGATAGGCAATCCATGGTAGAAACGAAAAAGAGATAAAACATGTGAATTTTTTTGCAATGTACTCAGAAGATGCTAGAGACTAACCTGTGATGTGTCGGGCAATGAGGTAGGGCGGCCCCATCTCTCGGGATCCCACAGTATGGAGCTATTGAATGCAAAACCAGAAACATTAATCTTGGGAGGTTTAGGGTTCAATTCTGTGCTAGCCACCAACAACCTCTTGTCACTGCTCAAGTCCTTCAAGACCCATCCTTGGACCTTTGTCGAAAGACAAATAGGACCATCCAGCATCACTCTCTTCCTGTTTTCTGACACCATTGCTACTGGCCATGTCCCAAAAACCCTGAAAAGAATGGCATAGGAGGCATTAGAAACCGACCAAATTGTTGGTTAAGAGGGGCAGGAGGTAAAAGCAATTATGTTACTACCAACCAGTGTAATGATCTGAAATCTTAATGTCAAAGGAACAATAGAAGAAAAAGGTGGAACACTAAAACCGAAATCTTGGTCTACTTTTGTCCTTTTGGAACCAATTCCACAGAGGAATTCAATTGAATTACTTTAGACAAATCAGTAGAATTACATATCTTAACCCAGCGGTATATAGTTTATCAGACAATTTATAAATGAAAGAAATTGTATAGTTTCATTAGATTATAAAAGCAGCATGTTGAAGTAAAAAATAGGAAGGGATGGTGGAAATTTGGCTCGAAACCACTTGAGAAAAAGGTTTAGATTAATTTGAGGTTGATTTGCTTTTATAATGTTTGGTACACAGTGTAGGAGCCAATCTTTGCAACTTAAATTTCACTTTTCTTGTTTTCTTTTGTTAGTCGATCACGCAATGCTTTTCTAATGTCAGGGGTCAGATGTAATCAACAATTCCCCATTATTTCTCCATTGTCATCACATAATTGCAGAAAAAGATAGACGGAAGATTAGGAAAATTAGTGTTGGAAGAAACAGTTAAAAGCAAAAGAATTTATGGAGTTTTGCTGTACAACGAGGCATAGGAATTGGGGGAAGAGGAAAAGTGTCAATGAATTGAAACCAGAATAATATTACACAGGAATCTCTATAGAAAGATATCTTTATGACGTCTTTCCTTCCTTTGACAACAACTAACAATTCTATCTAGAAAAAAAGGGTCATATTTCAGATACCGCAGCAAAGAACAGGCAAATGCAAATTGATGATTGATGAATCAAGAAAGCTGCTTTTTCTTTGGGTAACGCGGTGACACTAGATGCAGATTTACGAAAAACATAGATGAAGACTATGGATGGATCACAGGAATGGAAGGCTTTTTTATGACAAAACAAAGAGAAGAAAATTCGGAAGAAGAACATCATCAAGCATGCGCTCAACTTCCCTTATCTTTCTCCCCTCAAACCCTCATGATATCAGGAGCAAAATTATGATGGAAACAAGCACGAATTGTAATAAAAGATTTCGATGAGTATATCACACTCCTTTGGAAGAGATTCGAGCTTAACTGACAAAGATTATAGCTTTTCTTTCGATGAATCAGATACTACTTTCCCTTCCAATGAATCGAGTTAGGTCCCATTGAGATGTAAACTATTTGCTCATGAAATAGAGGAGGAGAAGGGAAGAAAGGTCATACTCGATCTCTCTAATCTCGTCGAAGAAGCGGAGATCATAGACGTTGGACGCGCCGGCGAAGTGGACGATCCCAGTGAGACGGTGGTACTCGACGTGGCTGAGGGCAACGTTCCGTTGGTGATCGGCCTCCACCCCCGGGTCGGTGAAATTCTCCTTGTAGCTCAGGTGCCTGTACATGACTCCCGTTGTCCGCAGCATCGGGGCGGTGGCGGCGGCGTCCGCGTGTGCCTGGACGACGAGCCACACCAGCGGCGGCGGGACCAGGCGCAGCGTGTGCGCCATCCGCCGCAGCGACGCGCCCAAGAACCGGTCGCTGGACCGGGTCGTCGTGACGATGATCAGCAGCCGCCGGGACGACGGCTCCGGCCCGCGCGTCCCCGACGCCTCCGCGTCCGGCGGCGGATCGTCGCGCACGGCGGCGGCCGGGACCGTGCTCGTGATCTCGGCCAGGGTCCTGTTGACGGACGCGCCGCGCTCGACGACCCGCTCCACGGCCTCGACGGGGGCGGCGGGGAGGATGCCGATGCTACTGACGGGCCGGCGCTCGAAGAGGGTAGCGGTGCTGGGCGGCGTGAAGCCGGTGAAGAAGCCCACCACGAAGCACATGGCGAAGTGCACGAGCGCCTTCTTCCACAGCTGACTACTCCTCCTCTTCGACCGGTCTATCGACCCCATCTCACCCGCCCGCCAGGACAACTAGTGAATGTAATCGAACGAAGGCCAAGAGAAGAAGTACATGATAGAACACTAAGGGAATAAGAACAAGAAAGATAGAGACACACGAGAGAAAGGCAGAAAGAGGAAGGAAGGAAGAAGAAACAAGGAAGCAGAGAGCAGAGAGAAGAGCAAAGCAGAGGAGAGCAGAGAGAGGGAAATGGAAGTGTGGAGAAAGGAGGGATTAGGGCTAAATTAATCATGAATCGAGAATTATACACCATAGTGGGGGTAATGTGTGTGTATGTGAGATGGAGGACATGGCATTGCATTCATTTGAAACCAACTACTTTCTGTGCTAATAAACAACCTTACTGTGCCAAGAGGAATTTAAAAAATAAAATAAAATAAGATTATACATTTACATTTAAACTAAAATATGATGAAAAATAATTTAAAAATCAAAGGAAAGAAATAAAAGTGGACGAATGATATTTTTTAAATAACCCTTAAATTTTACTTATAATTAAAATTCCAAAAAACTCACAGGTTCAAAAAAACATAGAGAGAGATTTTAGATCCCATGAGATTCAAATAGAGCTCCATTTTTAAGAAAATTATTTATTCATCCTAATGGAAGTGTGGTTCAAAATCTTTTTACTTAATCATATAGTATAAAAAAAATTCTTGATTTGAATGCTTGATTATGCTCGAAGGCTAATCAGACATGATCTTATATATCATATCGGACATCAGTTTCACATCTGTCTTTCGCAAGCTAATAGCTACGAATAGGTTTGGCAATTACCAAATCTAAGTTGGAGTTGATCCATCCACCTTTGGATGCGCACTCAATTATTTTCAAGCTGATAACTTCAATATAATTTTTTTTAGAAGTTTAATATATATGATTTGATCTTAGGCTAGTAATACAGTATTATTATTGTTCGAAAAAGATATATATTTTCATATTGTCTCTTCATTTCTTTAAAGGAGAAAATTTTAAAATATTTTTTTATAAAATAATAAATAAAAACATACCAAAAGTATATTTATCGAATTTATGAAAAAAATTAGATTATTAATCATATGAGATCGATTAAATATATTTTAAATTAATCTTATATTAAGCACAAATCTTGTAGTATGAGATCAATTACATATATTTTAAGTTAACCTCAAATCAAACGCAAGTCTTTCGGTACATTCTCTCATATAAATCAAAAAATAAGTTTGTCATTTTTCTCATAAAAAAATCTTATAGAATAATAAATAAAAAAACAAAAAGTATATTTTTCATCGCAAGAGATAAACCGAAAAATAATTTTCAAAAGAAATTTTCATCTCCTTTCTTTTAATTTTTCTAGATCTACAAGAGATAAACCCAAAAATAATTATAATATTTTCTCATTTTTTTTATAAAAAATATATACATACATAAAATATTTATAGAATAACTAAAGCCTAACTTTTAAGATTTTTTTATTTTTTCCATACTAATACTCGTTATCCTTCAATAATAGATCTTGAAATTAAAAAATACTTATCAATCCCAACAAAACATCAGTGATTTGGTAGACGTTTGTTTTCTATTAGTTCTTAAATGGGAGCAAAGTGTCCAAAACACTTCATCAAGTTTAATCATCTGCCTCAATCAAAGACTAAGATATGATAGATCCTGTTCAAAAAAACAGAACTAAATGCTCCACAAAAGTAGCATCCTCCCAAGTAGTCTAAAAGTACCATCAAGAAAGCTAAAAGAGTGCAATGTAAAAACAAACTAAACTTGAGGCCGTTTCATAACACCCATCTTTGCGCAGTGCCATAATTTGATAGCAAAACACCATGCCATAACCGAATAGTCACTTCTGGCTCTTCTTCCACAGGCCACCAATCTTCCTTAGCACATTACTGTTCTTCTTCTTGGGTGATTCTTCATTCAGGTCGTCAGAAAATGGTGAGCTCATCAACTTCCCGGCAATCGAATTATAGTCAGAATCTAGTGAACCAGTCCTTTCCATGTTTCCTCCATTGTTACTGGAACTAAGAATACTTGCCGCTGCTTCAGCTGCCTTCCTCCACTGGTCACACTGTATCCTCAACCTCTTCAGCTCAGATTCCATCTGCGAATTCACTGCTTGAGCTGCATCAAGTTGCTCGGTCACTCTCGCGGCCCTCCTGCTGTTCTTATCAGATTCTTCAGTGACGTATCCCAGCCTTATAAGTGCGTCCTGCTCCGCAGCCTTGGACAACTCCAGCTCGGCAATCATTGCTTCAGAACTTCTACGATTCTCCACTTCCCTCTTTGACATTTCAGATTTCAGCATCTCATTCTCCTCCAAAATGTTCTGCAGCTCGGTCTCCTTGTCCATGAGGTTGGCCTTCAGCTCTGCAATATCATTAGTAGATTTCATAAACTTCGACTCCAATTCGGATAGCAATTGTGCTCCCCGAACTTCTCCATCATCCGCACTCAGTTCTTTGTTATCTGCTATCTGCTGATGCTCTGCTTCCTTATCAACTAGTTTTGCCTTAAGCTCAGCAATCTCTGTTTTTGCATTGCTCAATGCAATTTTGAGTTCAGTTTCTTTGACTCCACAATCACTCTTCACACGCTCCATTAACTCATAAGCAGACCGGACCTGCATTGTGCTTTGGATTTGGTCTGCCTGATACTTGATTTCAGCAGCTTCAAGTGCAGATCTTAGTTCTACTTCTGTTACCAAAGGATTACCTGCTGCTTTCTCTGAAGATTTGCCACAGTGAACTTCCTCATTATACTTATTGGTGATCGAATTCTTCACTTCTTCCAGTGAATCGACTTTAGTCCTAGATTCTTCAAAGTCAGAGGCCTTGACACTGAAGGATTCCTCGAGTGTTGACCCTTCAGAACGTAGAGTCTCGATAGTGGTCTTAGACATCTCTAATTGCCTGCAAGTCTCATCAAACAGTGCACGTGCCTCGGCCTCCGATTTCTTCCTATCTCTAAGCTGAACCTTCAGGCTTTCAACAGTAGCAAGTGTCTCTGTCATTTCTTGCTTCAAAACCTGAAGCTCAGTGCTTGCTGTCTCAGACTGTTTTAGATAAGCAGCTTCGGCTTTGAGAACCACCTCAAGCTGCACTTTCAGCGTCTGTATCTCATTCATGGCAGAGCCCAAAGCTGCTGTGTCAACAGTATGCTGTTTTTGGATTGCTTCCAACTCTGACTGCCATGCACGATCACGCTCCTGAGAAATTTTTCGGAGTTCCTGCAGCCGAGCTTCTTCTGCAGCTGAAAACTCGACAAGTTGGCGTTGAGAATCATCTAGCTTTGCTGACATGTCCTCAAGCTGCTTCTTGGCCTCTTCTGCTTCTTGCTGCACTCGTTTCTTACATGTTTCGGATGAACTAAGTTGTTCTCTTGTCTTCTTCGCATCCTCTTTGAGCTGACAGATCTGAGTTTCCAATTCAGACAACCTGGTAGGATGCTTCTTCTGGAACTCACAAGATAAGAGTTGAATTACTTGTTAGAACAAAGAGAAACTAAAGAAAATAATAGCAACAAGATGACCTCTTTCAGATGAACAGATTATGTTTTGTATACTCATCTTGACATACATGATGTACCTTTCAATTTGGACAATGAATGAATCTTGGTCTTGTTCCAGATATGGATGTAGGGATAACAAATATCACAAAAGTAACAAAATCACAAATCTTAAGTTTCATCTTCTATGAATAGTAAGACTGCAAAAATTCTATTAGAATGATCTGATTACTTTAACCTCCAGTGCAGAGTGGCAACCTCTTGAATAAAGCAAATCAAATGTGCATTTTGTAAATGTAATACAATAATTACATCAAGAAGAAGACAAATCGGGCCCAAACACTAATATGAATGTTCCCAACGTGTTGCAGTAATAAGTGCTAGATCTATACCATTGCAAATGTCTGACATAATAAGCTAATCCTGTAGCGAATCCAAGCCACATTATGGGACTACCCTTTTGGTAAGACCCTAAGGTCTTATCGTGGAAGAAAAGGAAGAAAAGGGAATGATAATGATCGTTTCGAGGGGATCGGCCTCCTTGATCACTTCGAGGGGATCGGCCTCCTCGGGTTTGATCCACAAACTAGAATAATATTTCATTGATTGATTGATTATAAAAAAAAAGTGTTACATCACTATTTATAGAGTTCCACCTAGAGTCCATCAGGACTTGGACTCTTAATAATAAATAAATATTAAATAAATCTCTATCCGATTCTAACTGAACTAAATAGACTCAATAAACATTATTCAAAAGCTCATAAAATAAAAAGGTCCTAACACCTTCATCCAAGAGTCTAAAAATGTGCCTAAGATAAATTTAGATTGAGTTGTGTCATATATATACATTTAAAGGCCACAGAGATTAGTTTAAACCTTAGATAATCACAAGTTCCAAGTGGTCAGAACAATGTCGAACACAGCATGCATAAAGACCTCTTCTTTTCCTTTCAGGACGATATCACAGATTCACCAGGGAAACCTAACAATATGACTTTAAGTGATATATAGCTAGCCAGAATGTTGGATGGATGGTTGAGCCTCCTGGAGAAATCATGAGATCAAGCCAACTTAATTCGATAACTGCTTCCGTTATTAAAGGAAAAGAAGATTCAATAAACAAATTTAATAAACTGGAGTGACTTCACATTGTAAAACATTCATACCTCAGTCACTGGGCTTCTAGGTGATCGACGCATAATCACCTTGGGACTCCTCTCAGTTGAGGTCCTTGTTGACGTAGCTGAAGTGGCAGAGTTACATTCATTATCACCAGACTTGGCTGTACGAGTTCGAGGGGTGATTGGAGATGTTCTTTGAGGAACTTCTGATGATCCACTCCTACATGAATCAAAGAAATACAAGCAAATAGCTCAAAATGATGGTATAGAGCACTAACTAAATCATTTGCTTTGTAAAAAAGGTTTTCGAATTCAGAAAAAAACATCAAAAAGTATCAGAAGGCAAAATTCTAAAAGCAGCAATCATGGTTATTAAAGACAAACTCAATTTGAATTTCACATAAGCTAGATAAAATGAAGATCCAGAAGAGAAACTTCTTCAAGCTCAATTTATTCCCAGTTGAAATTTCCAAACCAAATACAAGTTTTGGTGATTAATTAGAACTTAGAGAAATTCCTACTTGGAAATTGTGGGGGGGAAAGGGGATTTCAAACCCATAACATGCATAGCATAAATGCATTCTGGCAAGTCCAAATCCAAAATCACTTGAGAATTTCCCATTTTTTAGAAATATCTATAGAATTAAAGGTAGCTGCACCACATTTCCCATGAAAAATGAGAATTCCCATGGTTATTAAAGAGCTCGGATAAAAGTTCAGATAAACAAGAAAGATGACTAGGATATATATTATTATGGTAGCTGCACCACAATGTCCATATTTTGGTGCTATTCTTTGGAACCATTATTATGGTCCAGACAATATTTTTGAAATAAAGACGCTAAAACATTAAATCTCATGTCTCAAGCATACAAACCAATATTTTGGGTGCAAAATCTGAACACCTGCAAATATAGCAAAAGACAGAAGGTTGAAGATGAACACATCATAGAACAGGACCCACCCATTAAGGTAAGCCAAAATATTGGTTTACAAGCAGACAAACACAATTTTACAGCAAGAAAGACAACCTCGGTCTATAGTCCAAATAAAAAGCATATTAACACATACAAAGGTCTTATCAATAACATAAGTAAAGAACAAATTAGACTCTTTTTAGTTTTTCCCTCAACCATGCCATTAAAATACGTACAAAATTATCTTGGATTCCGCTGCCGAACCAGCAATCCGAACCATTCAAGAACAACTGTAAGCAATTAATGCCAAAAGCTTGTGAACATACCTTGGTTTTGGCGTCTGCATCTTATTTTCACTGAAACTGGCCTTGTCCACAAGCCAAACCTGCAGTCACAAAGGAACAGATGACCCACAGAGTGAGACCCATCAGGTGAATTTACGGCTTGTAGATTAGCTTCAAGATCAACCAAATAAATGTGTCATGTAGACCCCACAATGTTGTCTGTAGTACCGCAACGACAGAAAACTACAGTAGGCAGTCCAATGGATCTACAGATCTCATAATAACCATTTTCAACGCAGTACGAAAAAGTCTCTCTTTCTTCCTCGCCGAGAAGACATCTCTAAAACCACTAAACGCGAATAACGAAGCAAAGTAAAGATGAAGAGAGAGAGAGAGAGAGAGAGAGAGAGAGAGAGAGAGAGAGAGAGAGATTGTGCGAAGACCAATATGCCCCTCGTTCGAAAGGAGAACTATTACGTATTAAAGGCAGTGTAGTAATTACATCGGCATTCTACAGACAGCGAACCGATGGGGGATTGTGAAAGTGGTCAAAGACGAGCAGACAAGTAGAACGGCGCAGTTGCTGAGGAGTCTCCCTCAGTATCGCCGAGAAGCAAGGGATGAAGTTCAGCAGTATTCTAAGAAATCATTTCATTGCCCAAGTGCAAAGGGTGGAAGCGAAAAGACAAGTTTTTAGAGGTAAAAGAAGAAAAAAATGTGAACTTTACCTTTCAATTCAAACTTTTATCGCAAGGATTTTTGTGGAGCCAAAAAGCAAAGGGGAAAAAGGACAACCTTTGTTAAGCTCTCGATTGAAGTGACTACATGACACTCATGGGAGAAGAAGCTAATAACACCAGAATCAAAGTCGAGAGGAGAAACGAATGTATAGTGGAGCAGGGTTCACAGGAAAGCATGTAATAAGAGATCAAATGGAGAAACAAAGTGCAGACATCAAAAATGCCTCGTTTCATAGGACTTCAATAGGCTTTTCGGTCAGGAAATCTTACGAAAGCCTGCCAAGAGTTGAACAGAGAGACAAAGAAGCCGCCATTATCGTTCCTGATGGAAGCAAAAGGGCGAAGATAGATATATAGGAAGGGGGGAGTTCATATTTTCTCTAAGATGATTTCTCTTCAGGGTTTGATGGAGAGGGAAAAGACAAGAAAACAAAGAACACCAGAGATCTTGGATCAACTCACGCTCGTTTTTTCTTCTTCTTCTTCTTCTTCGGCCTTGTTTGCTTCGCTGCGTCTCCACCTTCGCTGTTCCCCAGGCCTTCACCAGCCTCGTCCTCTACGTTTGCCGGAGCAAATCAGAGGACACGCAGCATTAACAAGGCAATTCATATTGTAGGGGGGGGGGAGGAAGGAGCTCCAGGATTTGTCCCAGCTGCGGCCATGGAGATTGGCGCTGAACGAGCTACGAAGGGAGTAGGTTTTGTCGCCGCACTCCGGAGGAAGGTTTAGATTATATTGCATTGTTGCGCAGCGTCCGGGTAGCTTTGAAGGCGAAGTTGCCGAGAGATTCTTTGCCGAGCGAACTCTTCTCGCTCACCTTCAGTGCTCCCACCTCATCCTTTGCCGTACGACCCGTTTTGTCCGCATCCACCGAGCGCGGAGTCGTGTGCTCCGTGGGATCAGGTAACCGCCTCGTGGGATCACCGCCTAGTATTTTATCCCCGGTGTACTTGTTATTGTATCTCACCTAAATTTCAAATGAACTCCTGCAGCAACCCATGTGTGTGAGAGAGACGTTGTTCAATTATACCGGTTGACGGTCATAGATACCGTTCAAATCGAACTGAACCGGAATCGAAATTGAACCAAATCAATCAATGAACGATCATTTTTAACTAAATCAGAAACAGAGTTATACGATTTAAATTTGATTTTTAGAAATTAAAATTAAAAATAATAGTTTTAAATTAAATAAATTTTAAAAAAATAAAAAGTCTGTACAGTATAATGATTAGTGTTTTTAAGCTTAAAGCCTGATGTGAATTTCAATATTTATAGAATAATTTATCTTTTATATCAAATGAAATCGGTGGGATAAAATCAAAATCGTCGATTCAGAAATCAAAATCGCATTAAACTGATTCCATTTATCACACCTAGACACCGCAAGACAAACTAACTCCTGAGCAAGTCAAACTGTGTCTTTTAACTGTGGTGGCCATGTCTGATTTATGTTAAATGGAGAAAGGCGAATCGCACCACCTCAGATTATTATTCTCTACATTATATTTTTCTGAGTGTCTAAAACAACAGTACAACAGTCAACAAATCTCACAGATAAAACCATCCATCCCTGCAACTGAAGAAGCAGTACTAAAAGAGACACTAGTTTGGCAACAGCATGCAGCAGTAAGTTTGATCTCAAGAGATTGGGTCAATTTACATCAGGCATGGGCAGGCGATTCCGTTTCCGTAGTCATCACCGTGCTGACATCCAACAGTGGAAGAATTCATTGAAGACTACCGATTCTTGGCTTTTGCAGCCGTATCGATCTCCTTAAAAGCCAAAGCAGATCCATTCAAGTGTGTTGCGGCTGTTTAAGGTGGAGGTGCATGTGGAAGGTGGGTGGCCACATTGGGATGGAGAGTGGGGCCATTCAAGTGTGTTGCTACTGTTTAAGGTGGAGGTGCAAGTGGAAGGTGGATGGCCACATTGGGAGTGGGAGTGGGGCCGCCATGGAGGAATCGTGCCACATTAAAAAGGCAACGACATCCAACCAAAGAACACTGTGAATGATGGACAAGGAGTGCAGATACATATGCTTCGCAATAGCTCTGTGACCGGAGCGTACTTTGTCTGATCGAGTTCCTGGTTGGACCAAGACTGTGACTAGCGAGTAAAGATGGATTCGAGCTTTCCGAAGCAACATAACGAAGACCAATAAGAAGAACAGAGTGAGTCGCGATGCACCGCAACACAGAGAAAAGTTAACGGACGGCAGAGATGATGGGACGTGTTCTCCATCGTCTCGGTCCCGTCTCTTCTGCAGCGTCCGATCTCCTCCCGAACAACGAATTCAAAATAATTCGAAAGCACCCGTAACCGTCTCTCCGCGCGCCGACGCGCCAAATACGAACCAAATAAAACGTACTATTCGCACTCTTCTTTGCTCTGCCAAACGCCACCGCCACCTCCACCTCCCCCTCTCCCTCTCCCTCTCCTCCTCTCTCTGTCGCGATACAGGGTTTCTTTCCGGATGATGGAGGCGGAAGCCCTCGACCCGGAGAAGGATCGATTCCGCCGCCCCTTCGCCAACATCAAGGAAACTAGGCGGTTATAAGGATCCGAATCGGTCAGCTTCATCACTAGCGGTCGAGATCGGAGGTCTTTCTCGGTCCAATCCTGTTCCTCTCGGTCCTTTTACTAATCAGTTGATCTTAATGGTCGATGATGCAGGGCGATCGATCGATGCGGTGGGCGATTTGCGACGTTAGGGTTTGTGGAGGACATTGGGCCGCTAAACTTGTTCCGGCAGAAATACCGAGGTCTTGTAGGTTATCTTGGATCTCCTGGTTCATGTGTTGCTCATTGCCTCTTTGATTATTCTCTGTCTGTCTATTGTGTAGATCTACTTTGTGGCAAATCGCTTTAAGATACAAAAGCAATTATGCTGATGATACCAACGCTTTTTGACAAGGGGGAAAGATTAGTCTGCTAGGAAAGCAGGGGGGGGGGATCTCATCCTGGTATCAATGGGAACTACCAGGTACTCCTCTTTCTGATACGATTTGTTACTCTTATACAAAGGCATGAATTAGTTCTGGAAGCTGCTCTAATTCATAGCTTTGAATAAAATAGTTCAATAGATTAAGATTTTCCAGTGTTCTTTGACATTTTTTTAATACTCTTTCTTGGTTAGTGGATTATAAAATGTGATATTTACTGTGGGTGCTTGAAGTGATGATCATGTTGAGGTCAACAGCTGGTTGGAGATCGAAGTGCATCTTAGTCCTAGTTGTCTGTGCATAGGGAACAAAACGATCTTACTGATCAGGGAACAACTACTCACTAACTACTACTTGCCTCGCGGGTCTGTTCGTTTGGCTTCACCTTTAGGCCTTCAGATCTTACTTCTAATATTATATACCTTTCTTTCAATTAAAATAATCATCTAGTAGTGGTCGATCACACCTGTGGACTAACTTAATTGTGATCAAACAATAAGTGCAATCTAGGTTGAGACTGTTAAGGATACAAATCAATAGATCATGGCTCCTAAGCTTTTTGATGCAATGACATTAATTAAAGTATCAGCATGAAGGATCTTGTGCTGGAAGCTTGTCGTAGTCCTAAAATAATTACAAAAATATATATCTTTGATAAATTTCAGTTTCACATGTTAAGTTTAAGTCACTCTATCATTACACAATTGAGTCAGAATAGTATGATTGATTGAATATATTTTTTTTAGGAGAGACATTCTAGCTCCACTATTCTGACTCTTAATCAAGCTAGAAGCATTATCAATCTTGTTTGTGTTGAAACCCTTGCTTGAAGGATGGTCTTCTTACCATGTATCTACTTTTGTTTGTGGCCTATGTAGTCTAGCAGAAGGCATGATTGAATACTTCTGGTTCTGTTTTCTAATTAAAAGCCTTACCGGGAGCAGCTTTCTTTTGTAGAAGTGGCTATCCTTGGCCTAATTAGTTTAAGTGTTTCAGCTCATAAAGTGGTATAAGGAAATAACAATCGATTATTGTAATCCCAACAATTAAGGGATGTCACAACTATACCAATCATATAGCCTAATTAGTAGAAGTGTTAAAGTTATAATGAAAGAACAATTGATGATTCTAATCCCAACAATTAAGGGATGTCACACCTATACAAATCACATAGCAAATCACATCTAAGAGGTTTTTTTTCTTTTCCTTCTCTTTTTATGTAAGGGTGTATTGATTTCTCCAAACATTAGGTGGTTTCCCTAAAGTACCTGACCTAGATGTATAGCCTGAACAGATCTCTATTTTAGCGCCCTTTTACTGAACCAACAATTGAGCACTAGACAAAACACGACCACTGCCGATACGTAAACCATGCGTCCTCACATGGTTTGATGAGCAACGCAATTGATCGCGTCACAATTTTGCACAAATGATCAAGGAATACATCGATTGCTGTAGCTACAGGTGGCATGAACATCTACAAGTTGGAGACAATTCAAGAAGGAACTTGGTCGAGCCGAGTCAAGTTGGAGCATGTAGCTGGGCGTCGGCAGTGCAGGGAAACCATGTTCTGTTAGATCTGTTCGAGCCGTGTTTTGTTAGATTGTCAGAAACTTTGTGCGGCCGACAACTAATCATGTCGGAGTCCCAAACTGTGGATCTCAGTGTGGCGTGGCGCCGTTACCCGGTAGCATGGTTTTCATCCACATTATTCCAGACTTGGTTGATGGACTTGTTGGGATAGGGTCGATGGTATTTTACTTCGTACAGTTAAAAAGGTTCACTGCACATGTAGGGCATGTGCTCCGGAGTTCATAGGGTCACTGGAATCAATCAGCTTGTCACGGATGTGCCATACGCTGATGTCTCGTATTCACCTAGAGTTAATAAGTTGTTTGGTACGCATGCAGTGAATCATGTAGTTATCAGCCAAATTTGTTAATCTTAGACCATTGTTTATTGTGACGTAAACAAATAAACAAAACTAAAACTAAAGCTAACATGGAGTACTAATATGCACACGGCCTCCGAATAGCGGTGGACTCCGCACCACATGGTTAAGTGAACCACCGCCTCTTTTTAACTACTAGTTTATAAACCTGCTCGTCTTGAGAGAGAGAGAGAGAGAGAGAGAGAGAGAGAGAG